ATCTGTAATGAAATAAAATATAAATGAAGAGTTTGGTTCCAAAATGCGATAAACGCCATTTAAAAAAAAAATTAGTTACTGCAAAAATCAGTATTGTATCTGGTTGGTATTGAAAATTCAATGTTTAATTTGAAGTAAAATGCGATATCCGCCGTGTTATTCTGTCATGTTTTCTCCCTTTCTTTCCAAACCGCGACAAACGCCAGTCTCCCTTCTCTGCAGATATATCCGCTCTCAACCAATCACAACGCACCATTCCACTCTCAACCAATCACAACGCACCATTCCACGCAATGTAAACAGTAACGGCAGCGCCTTACATACACCCGGCTTCCTAGTTTTTCTGATCTATTTTGTACTTTAGATCAACAAACAAACAAAAAAATGAATGATTTTGGCGGCATTGATGAACCTGTGGTTGTTTCTGCGGTGGGTGAGAAACGTAAGGCATCGAAATCGAATCATTTACGTGAGGAGATTAAGAAGATGAGGCACTCGGGAGGAGGAATAATGTTTTCAATCTTCTTTACAGTTCTTAATAAAAATATTATACTAATAAACTTACGTTGTTGTGTATTTTCAACAGTTTCAATATGAAAAAAAAAACTTTTATATTGATTCAATGGATTAATTGCATTTTTAATAAAAAAAAAATGGATTTATTGCATTTTGGGGGAAAAAAATAATCCGTTTTTATAATAAATCTTTGAAAATCAAAACCTGGATTTAATTTTTGTTTTGTTATTATGACCTACAAATGCTATGTGAAAGTTTGAAACAGAAAATAGTGGTTTTCATCTTTCCACTTTCTTGGTAAAGAAAACACATTTTTACTCAAATTAATCTAAATGGATTTATTGCGTTTTGGAACCAAACTCTTCAAATAATAGTTGAAAAACTTAAACTAAATGACAATTACAAATGTTGCCTTAGTTGGGAATCACCTGAAATAAGTTTAAGTTGAAGCACTAAAAATTGTAACTGGAAATAAATAAAAACTAAAACTGAAATAAACATGAATCGTCTCATTAAGGCACATTTCCCAATATTAATAATAATATTAAACATATAAGCAAAATGGCGAAAGCACATAACGAAATGACTTTTTAAATTAAACTAAAATTAACATAAAAGCAAAAGCAAATTCTAAATGTTAATAAAACTAAAGTAAAAAAAGTCAATACAATATGGACATACACAATCTTTTCTTGACACATATATTAAAGTTCTTTAAATTGGTTTTGGAGTACCCAGAGAAATATTTTGATTTTATCAAAAAAAAAAAAAAAAAAAATCCTTTTATTTTTCAATTTAAAACCAGAAGCAAATGATGCTCTGATGTGCAACACTTCTGTGAAACGCATCTCTTCTGGGATATTTCTGTTGGCGAATCTGAGACATTGTTGAGATCTCTGAGACTATGGTGTGTTTTTCTCTGGAGACACATCTGAGAAACTGAACTGCAATATTCATCCACATGATATCAGATCAACATTGGGATCTTGTAAAATCACTTCGGTCGCAAATTGAATTATGAAGATGAAAAGAGCAAGAGATACTGACTGGAGGCATGATCAACCCAAGGCTTCCACCACTGCTTCCTTTGGCCTTTCTTCTTCTCTTTACTGGCCTCTCCTGTGATGTAGAAACATTGTTCCATGAACACACACACACACACACACACACACACATTTACTGTGAGGTCTGGTACAGCCGACAGTCCAATCAGATTTAGTACCTACTTTAGTTCTGTACTTTAGTACAGAACTAGTACCTAGTTACAGAGTACCTACTGTATGCGCGTTTCATGTGTTTTAGATTTGATTGCAATGCATTTAACGCCGCTGTTAAGCGCAGGCACTTGTGGAATTTACAAATGTTCAGTCAGACACTGATGTTGGACTAAAGTGTGTGTTTTGACAAAGATACACTCAAACATGTGTGTCGTACACACGTTTGAGTGTATCTTTGTCAAAATTTAAAAGACACATTTTTACTTTTGGTTTATGTGAATTAAATGCATTCTAGTTATTAATATATTTGGATTATATTTGGAACTTTCCAATTTGTGTGCCTTTGAATTACTAATATTATAATTAACTGGATACTGAATTATACATGTATTATTTGATCAATTTAATTCTGTTTATAGTATACTAAAAAAAACTATTTAGTACAGTATAATGAAAAACATACACCGCCATTCAATGTTTTTGAAATAAGTCTCTTCTGCTCACAAAGCTGCATTTATTTAATCAAAAATACAGTAAATATTGTGAAATATTATTGTAATGTAAATCATCTGTGTTCTATGTGAATATACAGTAAAGTGTAATTTATTCCTGTGATCAAAGCTGAATTTTCAGCATCATTACTCCAGTCTTCAGTGTCACATGATCCTTCAGAAATCACTCTAATATGAGGATCTGATGCTCAAGACACATTTATGATTATTATAAGTGTTGGAAACAGTTTTATATTTGTGTGGAAACTGTGATACATTTTATTTTCCAGGATTTTTTGATGAATAGAAAGTTCAAAAGAACAGCATTTATGTGAAATAGAGTCTTTTGTAACATTATAAATGTATTTACTGTCACTTTTGATGGATTAAATGCGTCTTTGGTGGGAAAAGTTGATTTCTAGAGTTCAGCAGTGATGATTCAAATGAAAATTTGAAAATGCTGATTATGTAAACATACCTTCATCTTCATCCTCTTCCTCCTTCACTACTGAGTGACTTTCCCCACTTTCCTGAGCCAAAGACAACATCCTCTCTTTCCCTCTCTTAAACTTCTGCTGTCGGCTTTTGATGCGGTCCATCCTGACAGAAACAGAGGAAAGGAGAGCATGGTTGGGCTTTTGCTTGAGTTGGCCTAATTTAGCTTTTCCCTTGAACACAATCAGAGTATAATTGAAGATAAAGAGGCAGAGAGTTTGAGAATGTGTCTTCATGCAAAGAAAACAGCCTGAGATAGCACTTTTTTTTGCTTGAATTAAAAAAAACCCATTATTTTCCTCATATTCTCCATTGTTGCGGCTCCTCTCTTCCCAGTCTGTCAGTAACGCTCTGTTTACTTCCTGTCTCTGTGAAGCCCCTCCTTCTGAAAAGCACACTGTGCTCTGATTGGTCGGCTGGAGCAGTGTGTTGTGATTGGTCGGGCGCTTCGAGTGTGTTTAGGAAATGTCCCGCCCCTTTCCATAACCGCCAGTTTAACACACTACTAACTAACTCAACCAGGCCCCGCCCCTTTATTCTGCGTATGAATTATTATAATGAGGAATATTGTGGCGTGTTCGTTCCCGGGAGAAACTCAAGACTACAATGGAGGCGTTTCAGGAGTTCAGGAACACTCATATAGAGAAGAACTCAGAGCTTTTTAATGCTCAAACAGCAACACTACACACTAAACACAGATGGAAAGAACATAATAGGTCCTCTAAGAACCAATAAGCAATACAGAATCTCACTGCATCCATAAGCACATGATTTCATCGGACTGTATGTAAAAGAATGCAGCGGTTGGCAGTGAACAATGAGACATTGTGAGTCCCACACTGAGCCGTTCATGAACTCACTGTCTCTTCAGTAGATCCATCGACGACTTCTCTTCTTCTATTCTGGCTTTGACCGCCTTCACTATGGTGGCCTGGAACAGCTCCGCTCCTCTGACAGAGAAACAATGAACAAACACACACACCACAGGCGGAATAACTCCCAGAGGCCATAATAATACAAATCATTACATTCTGAAATATTAAGCAGTTTCAAATAAGAGTCAAAATGTGCAGGAGCTTATTACAGTCAAACCTACATTTATTCAGACACATTTCTCACATCATCACAGTTTATTCGCTATAGTTTAGACAATGGTGATAAATAGGAGCAGAACTCAGTGGATATTTGACTGGTTTTGTCCGTCCTTCTGTTAGACTCTCACACATGAATTATGATGAATATCTGTCAGCTGTTAAATTTAACTACACAATTAGATAATACCAGTTTAGCTCAACCAGTGACCAAGCAATGCTTCATGTTGTTCAGTGTGTGTGTAAAAAGAGCATTAGCAGTTACAGAAAACACACTTCAGCAAAACATCATCAGCTCAAAGTGGAGGAATCATTTTTGCTCCTGAATGTGTATAAATGTCACTGGTAGTCACTGTATGAAGAATATTTGGGTATAATATAATAAAACTGCCCTGTCAATCATCCTGTCACCGTCAATCATCCTGTCACCGTAAACTGCCCTGTCAATCATCCTGTCACCGTAAACTGCCCTGTCAATCATCCTGTCACCGTAAACTGCCCTGTCAATCATCCTGTCACCGTAAACTGCCCTGTCAATCATCCTGTCACCGTAAACTGCCCTGTCAATCATCCTGTCACCGTAAACTGCCCTGTCAATCATCCTGTCACCGTACACTGCCCTGTCAATCATCCTGTCACCGTACACTGCCCTGTCAATCATCCTGTCACCGTACACTGCCCTGTCAATCATCCTGTCACCCTAAACTGCCCTGTCAATCATCCTGTCACCGTACACTGCCCTGTCAATCATCCTGTCACCGTAAACTGCCCTGTCAATCATCCTGTCACTGTACACTGCCCTGTCAATCATCCTGTCACCCTAAACTGCCCTGTCAATCATCCTGTCACCGTACACTGCCCTGTCAATCATCCTGTCACCGTACACTGCCCTGTCAATCATCCTGTCACCGTACACTGCCCTGTCAATCATCCTGTCACCGTACACTGCCCTGTCAATCATCCTGTCACCCTAAACTGCCCTGTCAATCATCCTGTCACCGTACACTGCCCTGTCAATCATCCTGTCACCGTAAACTGCCCTGTCAATCATCCTGTCACTGTACACTGCCCTGTCAATCATCCTGTCACCGTAAACTGCCCTGTCAATCATCCTGTCACCGTAAACTGCGCTGTCAATCATCCTGTCACCCTAAACTGCCCTGTCAATCATCCTGTCACCGTACACTGCCCTGTCAATCATCCTGTCACCGTACACTGCCCTGTCAATCATCCTGTCACCGTACACTGCCCTGTCAATCATCCTGTCACCGTACACTGCCCTGTCAATCATCCTGTCACCGTACACTGCCCTGTCAATCATCCTGTCACCCTAAACTGCCCTGTCAATCATCCTGTCACCGTACACTGCCCTGTCAATCATCCTGTCACCGTAAACTGCCCTGTCAATCATCCTGTCACTGTACACTGCCCTGTCAATCATCCTGTCACCGTAAACTGCCCTGTCAATCATCCTGTCACCGTACACTGCCCTGTCAATCATCCTGTCACCGTAAACTGCCCTGTCAATCATCTTTTACAGTTAAAATCCTCCATTCAATCTAATTTAATTTCCTACCGTTTCGGAGAGAAATGTAGTCGCACGTTCATCTGCAGTCGTGGGTCTTTAATGCGGAGACTCTCCTCATGGGTTTGCAATTTGAATATAATAATGCATTTAAAAGTGAATGGCTAAACGTATCTTTACAAAAGTTCACAATGCTGCAGATGCAATACAATGTGGACAACACTGAATAAATACATTTTCGTCAGGTTAGATACTGATAATTAATCACTCAAACCCCTTTATCTAAACCTCTCTACACAACCGCGGACTCGCGCGTCCTCCATGTCTGTAGTTTTTGAACACTTTTCACTCGTGTTTGTAGTTCTAACCGAATCCTCGGCCAACGCGCGATGGGTTGTGGGTAATATTAGCTGTTAGCGTGCGCATCGATCTGCACTTCGGATTCTGACCGGATATAGTAGACCATCCGGGTCTCTGTGGAACACTCATTGCAAAATACTACGATTTGGGACGTACTAATTCTTTTTTCGAATACTATTTAGGACAGATAGTGTGCGAACTGGGACGCAGCCTGTGTGTCGTACCTGGAGGCGAGGACCTGAGAGGACCGGATGTCGGCCACGACGTGCAGGAAGTAGTAGCTCATGAACACCCGTCTCTGCAGGAGGAGGAAAGCGAAGCAGATGCTGTCCCAGATGATCCCCGCCTCGTCACTCGGCAGCTCGCACTGTTTGTGTGCGTTCTGCTCCGCTGCGGGACACAGTACAATCATCACAACCTGATGCAAGCAAGATCTGTTATTAAAATTGATATTAATTAGCAGTCACCATCGCACACCTACAGGTGCGTGGGAGAATAGACCAAATAAGTCGGGGCAACAATCTAAAAATACAAGGAAAACCCGCACACTATCAATACTTGCAAACGAGTATCAAAATTTGAATAGCAACGTTTCAGTCTCATGACCTTCATGAGGCATATGAAATTATTATATATTAAAAAAAAATTATTATTATTATTAACAGGCACATTAAAAGCAGGGTTCCTGCACACTTTTGAAAGTCAAATTTAAGGCTTTTTAAGACCTTTTTAAGACCTTAAGAAATCAAAATTAATACCGTACATTAGGGCTGTGCAGTATTGACAAATATATCTTGATATTTTCAACGTTTTGTTGATAATAATTAGATGATATTTTACTGATTGTGTTTTTGTGCTGGTGCCATGGCTGGTTTAGGTCTGTTGTTGACAGCTGACTCACGAAGATATTCATATTTTTCATATTCTATGCAGTGGTCAGTTCACAGCAGTGACAGAAATTAATATTTTAATTAAGGGGCAATATTTGCCACCTTAAATAGATTTTTTCAGGGGCATTTTCACCTATATGGACATTTTTTCTAAACTTATTTAGAGTTATGCATCACCTTTAATGTCAAATACTATCATTCAAATTAAATTATACAGTAATTATACAATAATACTTAATTATATAATAATCATACAGTACCACTGTTACAGTCAAATTAAATCATTCAATCAAAATCCATCTTTGCAGTGCAGAGGTGACAGAAGCGGCATCAGAAGTGGCATTAATTTATTTACACTCCATTTACAACTGAATATATAAAGCTATGAGATATATATTTTTAAATCAATATTCAATATTTAAATATGAAATGATTTCTAATTTTAACATTTTATTTAAAGGGTACTTTAAATATGAAACCGCAGCGGCAAATCACTGTAATAAGTGAGTTGAGGGAGTCATTCATTCAACCGATTCGTTCAAACGGCTGATTCATTCGGGAAAGAAGCAAGTGATTCGTTCAAAACGCGGATTTCAGTCAAGAAATCATCGCTGTCGGTTGCATTGAGACTCTGCTACGGTTTCATTTTGAAATTATAGTCGGCGAAATAAAGGGAAAACAAACAATATTAACAATATTGTGTCTAAAAAGTAGTTTCAATGTTAACTTATTGTTAATTTAACAGTTGTATAACATAAATATCACACTTGGAATCGTGCACGGGAAAACGGCACTCTTTCTGATGTGATATTCCAATATAAGAACATAATATGATATAAATATAAGACAAAAACTAATTTGGGGACATAACAGTTACACTGCACACATCACGCAGTGAAAGCACGAGACAAATGCGATGTCAGCTCGCAGGGCCTCGTACATCGTTAAAACAATGATTACAATATCATAAAAGACAATACACATCGCACACCATACGCACATAAAGAATGAACTTACAACTGAACTGACATTTACGACCTTTCTTCTCCTTCTCTCCTCTCGCGTGCAGGAGACAGTTATGCTGCCGCGACTCGCGAGTGACGCGAAATGTCACGTGAACTAGCAAATCCACAAAGATAGAATAATAAATAAATAAAAATACGTACGCTAATTAGATAGTTTTAATTTGGAAAGCTTTTAGATATGTCTAAGTCAAAGTGTCATCTAAAATTTAAGACCTTTCATAAGTAAAAATAAGACTTTATAAGACTTTTTATGGTCTTAAATTTAACAAATCTAATTTAAGACTTTTTAAGGATCCGCGGGAACCCTGTAAAAGTGATATTAAAATGAGCTAATAATTAACCTTTATAAGCTTTTCAGCCATTTTCCTCAATCTGAGTGGTTAAAAACTTGGTGACTTTTTTTTTATATGCAATCTAATCAAACAAAAATCATGAGGACATTAAAAAAAATTTGTTTCAAAAAGCTTAGCCCTTAGAATTCATTACTACAATTAATTACATATTGTAAAAACAGTGAGTTAAAGTGCCACTATTTTAAACGTTCCTACCTTTGTTTTGTTTTCTCCAACTACAAGTTTACATGCATCCAAGGTCAAACTTTTATAATAATACACATTGCAGCATCAGCTCAGTGTCTGAAACGGTTCGATCAAAGATTCAGTCTCTCTAAGCCCCGCCTCTCTGAGAGCTGCTCAGCTCTGATTGGTCAGACGGCCCAGTCTGTTGTGATTGGTCGACTGCTTACAGCACGTGTCAGAAACCAAACGCTCATTATCATATCTGAGTCTCAGCTCTTGATCACAGTGATGTGAACAGTGACGATGGCGAGGGTTTTACCGCATCAATCTCAGAAAACAGCGTCTTCTCGACACGAACAACACGAGCCGAACTCTTCCAGTCTCAGATACACTACAGTGTTTGAGGGCGGGGCTAAGAGACGCTGTTCAGCCAATCACGACCACAGACGGGCATTATGCAAACTGGTTGAGAAGTGAGGAAGTGAGACTGGATTACTGACGACTCGTTTTAGTTCAGAATCACTTCTTTCTTTTAGGAGACAATAACTCCATTTATCTGCACTTTGACCTTTGCAGAGCTTTAACATTCACAATCAGCTGCATTACACACTACATGACAGATAATATACACACAATAGGGGCACTTTAAAATGATTAATTAACATAATAATTTTAAAATTACATTGTATATATTTTTTTAGCTGTTTCACACATTTCAATCACATCCTATAAAGTGAGTCCAAAGGCGGCATTTTTATAATTTGTGTGTTATTTGTCATGCAAGGTTATTTTTAGTTTAGATTTCACAGTTGCAATTAGATTTCACAGTTTTCAGCATAAAAACGTGGGATTTGTGGCACCGAAAAGTCATGGGACACAAAAGTGTACAACGAATGTTGAAAGTGAGCATTCAATTTCTTGAACCAAAGAGGAAATGAAAGCATAACTTACGTTTTGAATATCCTTTTATAGTGCAAGCCAGACTGAACAGCTGGATCAGCCAGCAGTGATTCGCCACCAGCGCTTTTATATATCCACACGCCGCTACCTGAGAGACGAGACAACCGAAACTACAATCACATCCAGCAAAAACATCATTTCTGTGTATCTCAAATGTTGGACGAACCTCTGTGAAAGAGAACATCGTTGTTTGTTAATGAGAAATAGTTTCCGTTTGTCACCCTTAAGTGTGTATTGAATTATTCATCAAATCCCACAAACACTTCTTTTCACTTCATTCACTCTGAATTCAGAGCATTTTAACAGAACGGCCCAGACGTAATCATTTATTTCAGTATTTACTACACCTTGAATGAACCAAATTTATGAGATACTGTCACGATTTGGTCTTGTCTGTCATGTTTTGGTTTGTTCATGTCATGTGATCCTGCCATGTGTCTTGTCATTGGTTAATCGTCTGTTCATTTTTTACATTAGTCTGTGTATTTAAGCCCTCATGTTTGCCATGTGTCCTTGTCAAGTTTTATTTCAATGTAATCTCTGTCGGTAAGCGTCATGTTATGGTTTTTGTTTTATGCTTTTGTTTCATGCTACGGCATGTTTTTGTTTTGTTTAATTGATAAATAAACTGCACTTGGGTTCTCTATACAACTTGCCTTCCGTGGATCTTTACAGATACTTACTGAGAGAATGTTTTTCATGGTGATCACAAACACGTTGTACGCTATGAGGAAGTCCCAGTAATGAAGGATGCTTTTGATTGGCTTCAGTAACAGCTCGCCTCCAAAAATCAGGAAGTAGAAGCATGCGACCAGGTACCCCATACAGAAGATGCTGATGCGTGTGGTGCCCGTGATGAAGATGATGGTCAGGACGAACCAGAAGAGGTAGCTGAACATGATCACCTTCAGCATATCCAAATACGACCTGCACAGATGAAACGTCCTTTTATAGATCATACTTATACATTATACAGTAGTCAACATTTGAAGAGGATCAAAAAAGTTCAAAGTTGTCCTAAGACAAGAACGGGTATTGTTTAAAATTCATGTATAACTTTAGGTTATGATCCACTTCAAATGTTGAATTCCCCTCATTCACTCGATTAATTTGCTCCGAATGAATATTGCTGGTGTCACAGGGCTTGTGTTTCGGCGTGGGATTGCGTGTATTGCGCATAATTTCACTCATTCCTGCAGATTTTGTGCTTGGACCCAAAGTATGCGCTCATAAAGCCATCTCTCAGAACTAAATTGAGTTATTTTTCACTGCTTATTGCGCTTAAACAGTGAAATACACACAAAATAATGCCAGTCTTGGTGAGTATTCACGTAAGCACAGTCAGTTATGTTTTAAGTGAATGTAAACAGTCGAGAAAGAAAACGCAGGTGTAACAGTATAATGGATCCGTGCATCAGGTCTTAAAGTGACAGCAGCCTAATATTCCTGCTGCCAAATTATGAGATGATATTAAAAATATCTATATGGCAGTTCCTAATGGTATCAATGTCAAAATTGTGGCCAGTGAAAATGTTGTTAGTAACTTTGGAAAACCACTGGTGAGCAAAAAAGTTAATGTCAAACCCTGATGATAATGATAAATATTTCTTGAGCATCAGATCCTCATATTAGAGTGATTTCTGAAGAATCATGTGACACTGAAGACTGGAGTAATGATGCTGAAAATTCAGTTTTGATCACAGGAATAAATTACACTTTACTTCCAATATATTCACATAGAATCAGCCATTTTAAATAGCAATAATATTTTGATATTTTTTGGCATAACTAATTTGGTGCGATATGATGATATTTGCAAGGTGAGGCCGTTATTGGCCATTTTATCTCTGACCTACAGTCCTGTTATGAACATTTTGAAAGTAACAGCAGTCCTGGTTCCCTCAGAACTACACATATCAAATTAGCTGGTTATTTTGATTTACTATTGGAATATGCAACTATAGTAATAAAGATAATGATGAAGAAGTGGAAAAACTGGCCGCACTTGTGATATCCTCTAAATATGATCAGAGCAGCAGACAGGCATCATTAAGAGCAGAAAATCTCCAGATTTCTTCATCGCCATCATCATTTCTAATTGTTTGAACTGGCTGAAGATCACTACAGCTGATGGATCACTTGAGCAGAGATAAATTGTGTTGTCCTGATCTAGAATCACTATTCATCGTCTCGTTTTACTCTACAATATCAAGCAGAGGAAGCTCAGCTGGTCCTCAGACTACAATCTAACTTGAAAAAGTAATGATGCAATTACAATTGAAGTGTATTTTGGGTCATATCGGATGGCAGTAAAAGTAATAAGAGTATTAGAGTTGCTTTATGTTTTAACTTTCTTGAGTTCCCCATTTAACAACATAATTACATGCAGCTTCATAATGCCATTCTCATGAAGATTAGGCAAGATCATCTCACGTAAACACAACACTTCATATCATATTCAATAAACAAAGCTGTAAGTCAGTCACATTTTTGGGGCGCTGAAGAAACCGAGTTCATGTTGACAAAGTTGTGCTACATGAATATAATGTAGGTTAAAAACATCTAAAAGATATTTTAGGCGTGTAACTGAATAATCCAGTAAACCATAGAAATGTGTTTTGCATTGGACGCAAGTAGATTAAAACAGTGTCCAGTTTTATGCTGTACATGTGTGAATAATGCAGTAAAAATAACCACAATCCTTAGCAAATAATCAGAATAATGAAAATTGCATGTAAATGGGAGTGAAGAGGTTGGTAATGTAAACATCTAACTGCAATTAATCCTTGCTCTAAATACTGGAAATAATCACATTATTAGAGCATATGTAAATGTACTCAATATCTAAAGCCATTTCCACCAGTTATTCTGCTGTAATTATGACAAAGCTGGGTTTTTGTAATAGAAACTGGGAGTGTTGAAAAATTAACTATGTTCTAGAATAAAGACAATAGTTGGGAGGGAGGAGGGAGGGGTAAAATAAATATGGTGTGTTTTTTCAGCATTTTATTTCAGTTATATTATTTCAATATAACTTTTTTTTTGTCATTCTGTGGCGCTTTTTTGCAAAGCAATGATGTTGGTTAAAAGCACAAGGAATACAAATCCGTAATGTTATGTTTGATTTGAAATGGACCTTTTAAAGTATTTCAAAACATCAAAAAAAGTATAATAAATATAATTATGGAATATAATTATGAATATAGACATGTATTTGTGAGATCAGGTGGTAGGGGACGGTCTGACCTGCAGTGGATGAAGTCGGGCACAGGGTTGTGTTGGCTGAAGCTGGCGGCGTCCAGGTCTCGACAGATCTCCACATTGTCGCCGGCCAGCATCTGCACGGGCGTCACACACTCCTCCTCGAACACACGGCCCTGCAGCGACGCGCACAGCAGCAGCAAGAAGTCGTCTACACACAGAACCACAGATAAACCAGAGCAAGAAGTCGTCTAAACACAGAACCACAGTTAAAACCACAGCAAGAAGTCGTCTACACACAGAACCACAGATACACCACAGCAAGAAGTCGTCTACACACAGAACCACAGATAAACCACAGCAAGAAGTCGTCTACACACAGAACCACAGATAAACCAGAGCAAGAAGTCGTCTAAACACAGAACCACAGTTAAAACCACAGCAAGAAGTCGTCTACACACAGAACCACAGATACACCACAGCAAGAAGTCGTCTACACACAGAACCACAGTTAAACCACAGCAAGAAGTCGTCTACACACAGAACCACAGATAAACCACAGCAAGAAGTCGTCTACACACAGAACCACAATTAAACCACAGCAAGAAGTCGTCTACACACAGAACCACAGTTAAACCACAGCAAGAAGTCGTCTACACACAGAACCACAGATAAACCACAGCAAGAAGTCGTCTAAACACAGAACCACAGTTAAAACCACAGCAAGAAGTCGTCTACACACAGAACCACAGTTAAACCACAGCTAGAAGTCGTCTACACACAGAACCACAGTTAAACCACAGCAAGAAGTCGTCTACACACAGAACCACAGTTAAACCACAGCAAGAAGTCGTCTACACACAGACCCACAGTTAAACCACAGCAAGAAGTCGTCTACACACAGAACCACAGTTAGACCAGAGCAAGAAGTCGTCTACACACAGAACCACAGATAAACCACAGCAAGAAGTCGTCTACACACAGAACCACAGTTAGACCACAGCTAGAAGTCGTCTACACACAGAACCACAGTTAAACCACAGCAAGAAGTCGTCTACACACAGAACCACAGTTAAACCAGAGCAAGAAGTCGTCTACACACAGAACCACAGATAAACCACAGCAAGAAGTCGTCTACACACAGAACCACAGTTAAACCAGAGCAAGAAGTCGTCTACACACAGAACCACAGATAAACCACAGCAAGAAGTCGTCTACACACAGAACCACAGTTAAACCACAGCAAGAAGTCGTCTACACACAGAACCACAGATAAACCACAGCTAGAAGTCGTCTACACACAGAACCACAGTTAAACCACAGCAAGAAGTCGTCTACACACAGAACCACAGATAAACCACAGCAAGAAGTCGTCTACACACAGAACCACAGTTAAACCACAGCAAGAAGTCGTCTACACACAGAACCACAGTTAAACCAGAGCAAGAAGTCGTCTACACACAGAACCACAGATAAACCACAGCAAGAAGTCGTCTACACACAGAACCACAGATACACACCAGCAAGAAGTCGTCTACACACAGAACCACAGTTAAACCAGAGCAAGAAGTCGTCTACACACAGAACCACAGTTAAACCACAGCAAGAAGTCGTCTACACACAGAACCACCGTTAAACCACAGCAAGAAGTCGTCTACACACAGAACCACAGTTAAACCACAGCAAGAAGTCGTCTACACACAGAACCACAGTTAAACCACAGCAAGAAGTCGTCTACACACAGAACCACAGTTAAACCACAGCAAGAAGTCGTCTACACACAGAACCACAGTTAAACCACAGCAAGAAGTCGTCTACACACAGACCCACAGTTAAACCACAGCAAGAAGTCGTCTACACACAGAACCACAGTTAGACCAGAGCAAGAAGTCGTCTACACACAGAACCACAGTTAAACCACAGCAAGAAGTCGTCTACACACAGAACCACAGTTAAACCAGAGCAAGAAGTCGTCTACACACAGAACCACAGTTAAACCACAGCAAGAAGTCGTCTACACACAGAACCACAGATAAACCACAGCAAGAAGTCGTCTACACACAGAACCACAGTTAAACCACAGCTAGAAGTCGTCTACACACAGAACCACAGTTAAACCACAGCAAGAAGTCGTCTACACACAGAACCACAGTTAAACCACAGCAAGAAGTCGTCTACACACAGACCCACAGATAAACCACAGCAAGAAGTCGTCTACACACAGAACCACAGATAAACCACAGCAAGAAGTCGTCTACACACAGAACCACAGTTAAACCAGAGCAAGAAGTCGTCTACACACAGAACCACAGATAAACCACAGCAAGAAGTCGTCTACACACAGAACCACAGATACACACCAGCAAGAAGTCGTCTACACACAGAACCACAGTTACACACCCGCAAGAAGTCGTCTACACACAGAACCACAGTTACACACGAGCAAGAAGTCGTCTACACACAGAACCACAGTTAAACCACAGCAAGAAGTCGTCTACACACAGAACCACAGATAAACCAGAGCAAGAAGTCGTCTACACACAGAACCACAGATAAACCAGAGCAAGAAGTCGTCTACACACAGAACCACAGTTACACACCAGCAAGAAGTCGTCTACACACAGAACCACAGTTACACACGAGCAAGAAGTCGTCTACACACAGAACCACAGTTAAACCACAGCAAGAAGTCGTCTACACACAGAACCACAGATAAACCACAGCAAGAAGTCGTCTACACACAGAACCACAGTTACACACGAGCAAGAAGTCGTCTACACACAGAACCACAGTTAAACCACAGCAAGAAGTCGTCTACACACAAAACCACAGATAAACCACAGCAAGAAGTCGTCTACACACAGAACCACAGATAAACCAGAGCAAGAAGTCGTCTACACACAGAACCACAGTTACACACCAGCAAGAAGTCATCTACACACAGAACCACAGTTACACACGAGCAAGAAGTCGTCTACACACAGAACCACAGTTAAACCACAGCAAGAAGTCGTCTACACACAGAACCACAGTTACACACCAGCAAAAAGTCGTCTACACACAGAACCACAGTTAAACCACAGCAAGAAGTCGTCTACACACAGAACCACAGTTACACACCAGCAAGAAGTCGTCTACACACTGAACCACAGTTAGACCACAGCAAGAAGTCGTCTACACACAAAACCACAGTTACACACGAGCAAGAAGTCGTCTACACACAGAACCACAGTTAAACCAGAGCAAGAAGTCGTCTACACACAGAACCACAGTTAAACCACAGCTAGAAGTCGTCTACACACAGAACCACAGTTAAACCACAGCAAGAAGTCGTCTACACACAGAACCACAGTTAGACCACAGCTAGAAGTCGTCTACACACAGAACCACAGTTAAACCAGAGCAAGAAGTCGTCTACACACAGAACCACAGTTAAACCACAGCAAGAAGTCGTCTACACACAGAACCACAGATAAACCACAGCAAGAAGTCGTCTACACACAGAACCACAGTTAGACCACAGCAAGAAGTCGTCTACACACAGAACCACAGTTAGACCACAGCAAGAAGTCGTCTACACACAGAACCACAGTTAGACCACAGCTAGAAGTCGTCTACACACAGAACCACAGTTAAACCAGAGCAAGAAGTCGTCTACACACAGAACCACAGTTAAACCACAGCAAGAAGTCGTCTACACACAGAACCACAGATAAACCACAGCAAGAAGTCGTCTACACACAGAACCACAGTTAGACCACAGCAAGAAGTCGTCTACACACAGAACCACAGTTAGACCACAGCAAGAAGTCGTCTACACACAGAACCACAGATAAACCACATTAGAAGTCGTCTACACACAGAACCACAGATAAACCAGAGCAAGAAGTCGTCTACACACAGAACCACAGTTAAACCACAGCTAGAAGTCGTCTACACACAGAACCACAGTTAAACCAGAGCAAGAAGTCGTCTACACACAGAACCACAGTTAAACCACAGCAAGAAGTCGTCTACACACAGAACCACAGATAAACCACAGCAAGAAGTCGTCTACACACAGAACCACAGTTAGACCACAGCAAGAAGTCGTCTACACACAGAACCACAGATAAACCACAGCAAGAAGTCGTCTACATACAAAACCACAGTTAAACCAGAGCAAGAAGTCGTCTACACACAGAACCACAGATAAACCACAGCAAGAAGTCGTCTACACACAAAACCACAGATAAACCACAGCAAGAAGTCGTCTACACACAGAACCACAGTTACACACGAGCAAGAAGTCGTCTACACACAGAACCACAGTTAAACCACAGCAAGAAGTCGTCTACACACAGAACCACAGATAAACCACAGCAAGAAGTCGTCTACACACAGAACCACAGATAAACCAGAGCAAGAAGTCGTCTACACACAGAACCACAGATAAACCACAGCAAGAAGTCGTCTACACACAGAACCACAGTTACACACGAGCAAGAAGTCGTCTACACACAGAACCACAGATAAACCACAGCTAGAAGTCGTCTACACACAGAACCACAGATAAACCAGAGCAAGAAGTCGTCTACACACAGAACCACAGATAAACCACAGCAAGAAGTCGTCTACACACAGAACCACAGTTAAACCACAGCTAGAAGTCGTCTACACACAGAACCACAGTTAAACCACAGCTAGAAGTCGTCTACACACAGAACCACAGATAAACCACAGCAAGAAGTCGTCTACACACAGAACCACAGATAAACCACAGCTAGAAGTCGTCTACACACAGAACCACAGATAAACCACAGCAAGAAGTCGTCTACACACAGAACCACAGATAAACCAGAGCAAGAAGTCGTCTACACACAGAACCACAGTTAAACCAGAGCAAGAAGTCGTCTACACACAGAACCACAGTTAGACCACAGCAAGAAGTCGTCTACACACAGAACCACAGTTAAACCACAGCAAGAAGTCGTCTACACACAGACCCACAGATAAACCACAGCAAGAAGTCGTCTACACACAGACCCACAGATAAACCACAGCAAGAAGTCGTCTACACACAGAACCACAGTTAAACCACAGCAAGAAGTCGTCTACACACAGACCCACAGATAAACCACAGCAAGAAGTCGTCTACACACAGAACCACAGTTAAACCACAGCAAGAAGTCGTCTACACACAGAACCACAGATAAACCACAGCAAGAAGTC